TCCTCCCTGGTGGGGTCCCCTGGGGCCTCTTAGAGAGCCTCCTGAGACCTCTTCGGGGCCTCGGAGGGTTTCTCAGGGACCTCCTTGCTTTCGGCGGCCGTCTTCGGGGCCCTTTGGGCAGTCCGAGGCCCTGGAGAAGTCACGCGGGAAGTCCGAGGAGGCGGCGGCGGTGACGACGACAACGCTGACGTGGGCAAGAGTCCTCAGGGCGGGATGCTTCTTGGGGTCGCTTTGGAAGGCTCACGGAGGCCTTCGGGGAGGAATTGTTGGGCCTCTTGGGAGCCTCTTGGGAGTGTCTTGGGGGCCTCGTCGGGCTTCCTTGGGACCTCTTGTAGGCCTCTTGGGGCCTCTTGAGAACCCGCGGGAGCCTCCTGCGAGCCTCAGGGCCGAAACATGTCCGTTCTGGTTCCCCGTCTGGGCACACTCGTGGAGCCGTCTTGGGGGCCTCTGGGGCCGTCTTGGAGGCGTTCTGGGGTGCCTTGGGGTCCGCATGGGCCGCCTTGGGGCGATCTTTGGGGCCTCTTGGTCCGCCTTGGAGCGACATGAAGAGGAAAAGGTGAGAAAGAGCAGTTCATCATGAAAAGGGGGGGGGTCACTACCGGTTCGAACCCCCCACCCCCTCCTCGAAAACCGGGGGGGGTCACTACCGGTTCGAACGCCCCCCCCCCCCCCCTCCCTCGAAAACCGAGTGGGGGTGCGGACAGTGGCGGGGACGGTGTTGGTGGGGGCAGTGGTGAGGGGACAGCGGGACAGTAGTGGGGACAGTGGGACAGTGGGACAGTGGTGGGGACGGTAGTGGTGGGGACAGTGGTGGGGACAATGGTGGGAACGGGGGGGACAGTGGACAGTGGTGGGGACGGTGGTGGTGGGGACAGTGGGAATGAGGTGGAAACAGTGGGACAGTGGAGGGTACAATGGTGGTGGGGACAGTGGTGAAGGCGGTGGCGAGGACGGCGGTGGGACAATGGGACAGAGGTACAGTGGGGACAGTGGTGGGGACAGTGGGGACAGTGGTGGGAACAGTGGGACAGCTCAGTGGGACAGCGGAGGAGTCAGTGGGACAGTGGGGACAGTGGGGATAGTCGGGCAGTGGTTGGGTCCGTGGAGACAGTGGGGAGAGTGGAGCCGTGGTGGGAACAGTGGTGGGAACAGTGGTGGGAACAGTGGGGACAGTGCGACAGTGGTGGGGGCACTGGTGGGGACAGTAGGGACGGTGGTGGAAGCAGTGGGGACAGTGGTGGTGAGGACAGTGGTGCTGGGAACAAAAGTGGGGGATGTGATGCGGACGGTGGTAGGGACCGGGAGTCGTTTGCTGGCGGTGCGTGGGGGGAGGTGGGTCGAACCGGTAACGACCCCCCTCCGGTTTTCGAGGGGGTGGGGGGGGGGCTCGAACCGGTAGTGACCCCCCCCGGGTTTTCCAGATCCGGAGGAGGGGGGGGAATGGGTTCGAAAAGGTAGTGGACCACCCCCGGCGGTCGAGGGGCGGTTAGGGGGCGGGGGTGGGGGGGAGGGGTTAGGGGAGGGGGGGGGGTTTTGCCGGAGAAGGGGGGGGGGGGGTCCAGCAGGGGGGGGGTGGATTGTCGGAAGGGGGGGGGGGGGCGACCCCCGGGCTCCGGAGGAAAAGGCTGGCAATTTTCAACAGTAAAGCGGCGGTGGATCACGCTCTCTCAAAGGTGAGAACGCTGAAATTTTAAAAACAAAACGAACCGAGCATAAACTCATTTTGCCTCTTGGGGCCCTCTTGGGCGTGCTCTTGGAGGCTCTTGGGGCGTCTGCCAGGCCTCCTGGGCAGTCTGGAGGTCGCGAAGGCGTTTTGGACCGATCGTTTGGCGATTGGATGCCCTCTTGGACCGTGTGGCGTGTCTTGGTACTTTCTGAGGCCCAGGACCCCCAGGGGGAATACGTATCTGACCCCCCCTCCCCCCTTGCCCCCCGACGGAGAGGGGATAAACGGGAGTAGGCTTCCCTCCGACTCGACTGCGACATTGCTACATTTCTTTCTCGCTGACATGCTTGAGAAGGAGGGTGCAGGGAAAGCCGACGACGGAGACGACGACTGACGGAGACGACGACTCGAGCAGACAAGCCCCTCACACACGTCGACAGGGTCGGCGAATGTTGTTATCCTCGATGCCAAGAGGGCGTCCCACTCAGGGCTTGAAGGCACCCCATTCAGGACTCCCACACAACCTCGCGATTGCATCGAGGGCGCTCCACTCGGTGCCTCCCGCACGGCGGCGGATCTGTTCTCTGGACGGAGGGGACGTCTGGGTCGTCGTAGTTGTCGTCCCCGTCACCGCCTGGCCAAACTCCGCTCAAGACTTGCCCCTGGGCTTTTCCTGGGGCCCACCTGGCCCGAGAATGTTTTACCCGGAAGCGCTCGAAATGTATCGGAACGACGACGTTGTGGTTGTTTTTGTCGTCTCAATTGGCCCCAGTGCCTGTCCAGGGGCGCGTTCGTTCTGATAAGAGCCTCGAAGGAAAACCAGCCGTGGCGACGAGGGCGCCCCAGAAGGCCCCCAGAATGGCATAGGCTGCAATCCTGAGGTCGTCGTCGCCGTCGGTTTCAGAGGTCTCCACCCCTTCACCCAGGGCAGTTCTCCCTCCTGGATCCAGTTTTGATGGCCCTGGGGCTAGGGAAAGGCCCCAAGCGGCTGGGGTATAACACAACACACCAGGATTGACAACGTTCAAGCCGTTGCCGTCGTCATCCTCGTCGATGTCGTTGGCGTCGGCGTAAGTCGTCTGTGTCAGCGTCCGTCGTCGGTGTCCGTTGTCGGTGTCGTCCTCGTCGTCCCTGTCCTCGTCCTCGTCGTCGTCGTCCTCGTCGTCGTTGTCGGCGACGCCGCCCCTGCTGGCAGGCCGACTGTTGCGGAGCCGGCGTCGCGCCTCGTCGTCGCCGCCGGTGTCGTCGCTGTCGTCGTCCTCGTCGTCGACAGCGTCCGTCGTCGTCATTGACAGCGTCCGTCGTCGTCGTCGTCGTCGGTGGCGCCCCCGCCAGCAGGCCGGTGCGGCGCCGGCAGCGGCGGGGCACCGGGGCGGGGGTACGCAGGCGCCAGCCGGGGCCTGGGGAAAGCCGCGCCCGCCAGGGCCCCGTCCGAGCAAACCGGGGCTTTGAACATTCCAGCTGGAGAGAACTAGTGTGGTTCCAAAAGGGGCCCCAGGGAAAGGGACTTTTGAGACGGGCGATGCGGATTTCTCAAGTCCGCTCGGCTTCGCCCATAAGGTTTCCGCATGACGCTTTCACTCGCACTTGCCGAAGTCTCAAATGCAAGTCCGCGGTCTCAGGAGCCCCATTCGCTGGCGTCCCTTTAGGAAGCGCATCAAGAATAAAGAATGCACAATGCCTCGGCCCGAGGACTTTTTGAGCATTCCAGCTAGGGAGAAGAGTGCAGAACGTCTTGACCCAGGGGTGCAGTTTTCTCGAACGCGCCAGCGTCCTGATTTTTCAAAGTCCCCGTCTACGGGTCCCTGAGCCCGAGGGTGGCGGCGCGGCGAGGATCAGGTCGTCCGGGCGCCGACTGCCGTCAAGGTCGCCGCCGCCGCCGCCGCAGTGGCCGCCGTCGTCGTCGCTGCCTTGGCCGCCGCCAGAGTGGCAGCTGCGGCTGGTGCCGCGCATCAAGGAGCTCGTCGCCCAGGGGGAGATCACCCGGCTCGGGCCGCTGAGGATCTGGGGTCCACTGGACCTTCGAGGGCCGATGGGGGACCTCGAGCGCCGATGTCTAGAACCGTGTCAGGCTCGCGTGTCGTGGAGCTCCCCAGATCTGCTCGCGCTTGGCGAAAAGATCACGATGCATCGTTTTTGGTGGCGGTTTTCGGCCTCCAGAAAGGGGCCCTCGCCAGGCCCCGCGCCCGTCAAGAAACGGCGCGGGATGAAGAAGCGGCCCTGGGAAGCGAGTCGGGACTTTTTGGGACCGCGTATGGACAAAGTCATAACATGATGTCAGGGCCTCGATCCCTTTCCAGAGGAATATCTCGGCGTGCCCTGGGTTGCTTCTGGATGGCCCTGCATGGGCGCCCGAAGGCGGCCCCTCCGAGACCGAAGCAGCGACAAGGTTCCGTCCTGAGTCCTTTCGGCGTTGGAGGCATAGGGCTGAACTACCGGAGGCGGCGACAGGGGCGACTGGCCCAGGGGAGAGCACCACGTCCATCCAGGAGCGCCGATGGTCCATGTCTTCGGCGAGGCTCCACGGCGAAGGCGTACACTGCCCGCCTCGGGGCCAATTTGGCCCTGTCGTCGCCTCCGAAATTAAGTACAGTTGGGGCGCTGAAGAAGGAACCCTCTTCGTGGGGGAGGGGCTCCAGGTTCCTTGCGTGTCTAGGCCTTTCGACGGGACATCGAAGCTCGACTTGTGGGATCACCTCGTGGGAAAGAGTGGCCTCGTTCCTTATTTTGGGTTCCTTCGGTCCACGCTCCCCCCCCCCAGCCTCTCTGAGGGATATGCGCCCCCCTGGAGTTAGATCGGGCATGTCCCCCTACAGGCGGATTTGGAAGGAAAGCTAAAAAATTCCCCCCCACCCCCCCCAAAAAATGTATGTAGAAATGGTCAAACAGAATTGGGAATTCGGTCCCCGTATTTTGTTTGACTATCTTTGAAGACTCCTCTTGCAGAGGGGCAGGCCCGACTCAACCCTGGACGTCGTGGCCGACCTGGCCGGGCGCGGCGAGGTTGTCCCCCCCAGCCTGGGCCTGGGAGGCCCCAGAGGGAGCAGGGGCGCCACGCGGGTGCAGCAGCAGAGCAAAAAGAAGAGCGCTCGAGCCTCCCAGAGCTCCGACGTCGAGGTACTTCTCCATCGGGGAACGAACAAGTTCAGGCGATCGCAAACACGGATCAGGGGGGCGTGGACCAGTGACGGGCCCCGCTTCCGTGGGAAATCGCGGATTTCCGCCGCCCGCACGAGGCGGCACCAGCCGCACTCTGGGGAGGGCACCTCCCCCGATCCATGGATCTGGCGACCGCGCGCCAAATCCATGGATCGCTAATCCATGTTTGCGCGCGCCAGATCTATTTCTTCTAGGGGCACGGACAATTCAGGAGGGGAAAAACACAGACACGATTATTCGTCGATTCCCAGGAAAATGTAGAACAAGTATGGGAAGTGGGGGGAAAACGAAAACCCGGAACATATGGGAAAATATGGGACATCCTGGGATGTGTGTCTAGTTATTTGTGTGTCCCAGGGCCCCTTTAACAATGACATAAACATAACAACTCGGAGGTCCGCGCGGATTTCTCGGATCCGCGCTGGACCCCCCGTGGCGGCGCCTCCGGCGCGCTAGAGAATGCGAGACATCCGCGCGGACCTCCGAGTTGGTATGCTGTTGTCATTCTTCGTTCCCCTATTTTTAAGGCGGGCCTGTCCCTCTACAGGTGGAATATCCAAAATTGTAAAAAGTATGGAGACGAGTATTTGAGTACGTTTGGATTATTTTTGAGCATGTTTTGAATAGTGTTTAGTTGTTCCTCCAATCTCCGCCTGTAGGGGGACATGCCCGACCTAACCCTATTTCCGGGAGCGACAGAAGGACGTACACGCGCGATCGTTCGCAAGGCGAAGCTGGCCTCGCGGACGGGGACATTCATGTACGTGACTGGGCGCTCACGTCCTCTGTGAGCTTCCGAGACTTGTGGTTCACGCCGCGGCCCCGCTGCCGGACCCTTCCCTGGGACCAGCTTTTCGTCTTGAGTGGCTACGTTTGACGGTCCCGGGGCCCGGGTAAGGGCACCCAGGTTCCGAAACGTTCCCCAGAGAGCAGTCCGTCCGTTTTGTGCTGCCTCGCGATGCCGAAACCCTCGGAAACGTAGGACGTAATGCCTGCTCTCTTGGGAGGTTAATCTGGCTCAGCTGGTTGAATTCCGTTCAGTCGCGCTCAGCCCCCGGCTTACCATCCCCGGCTGATCGGGGCGACTCTGGCTCAACGGCTCCTCAATCGCGAGGCCCTCCCTGGGGGCGCACCTCCCTCGTCCTACCCCCTGCCCCCCCTCCTCCTCCTTGGGTCCGAATGGACGCGACCAGTGCTCGCCGTCCTCCTCCTCCCCCTCCTCCGCCTCCTCCGCCTCCTCCTCCTCCCCCTCCTCCTCCTCCTCCTCCTCCTCCTCCACCTCGTCAATGTCCTCGCCGATCCTTCCCTCGCCTGCCTCCTCCTCCACCTCGTCGTTCTCCTCGTCGCCGTCGTTCTCCTCCTCCTCCCCGTCGTCGATCTGCTCCTCCCCCTCCTCCTGATCCTCCTCCTCCTCCTCCTCCTCCTTTCCCCCCCCTCCTCCTCCTCCTTCCCCCCTCTCCTCCTCTTTCCTTCCTCCTCCTCCTCCTCCTCTTTTCCACCCTCCTCCGCTCCTCCTTCCCCTCCCCTCCTCCCCTCCTCCTCCTCCTCCTCCTCCTCCTCCTCCTCCTTCCTCCTCCTCCTCTTCTCCTCCTCCTCCCCTCTCCTCCTCCTCCTCCCCCTCTTCCTCCTCCCCGTCCTCCTCCCTCCCCTCCTCCTCCTCCTGTTTCTCCTCCTCCTTCTTCCCTCTCCTCCTCCTCCTCCTCGTCCTCCTCCTCCTCGTCCTCCCCCTCGCCGTTCCTTTCCCTTATAGATCTCTGTCGCACCCCGAGACGGGTCGGTAGGGCGGGCTGGGCATTTCGCTGGACATTTTCCTCACCACTTTTGATCTCGAAGCTCAGAATGGGCAACAGTTTCACGGATGCAGGGCAGGCGGTTTCCAAAATATGGTTCTCGCTTCAGCGCCGCGCACATTCGTTGTAAAAGTTTGCAAGAGCTTGCTGGATGGAGGGCGGCTTGTTTTCAAAGTTTGGTTTTCGCTTGCGCCGCGCACACTCGTCTTAAAAGTTAACAAGAGCTCACGGATGATGGGCGGGTGGCTTTCAACATCTGGCTCTCGCCTGCGCCGCACACATTCGTTGAAAAAATACGCACGGGTTTCACGGATGATGGGCGGGTGGTTTTCAACATGCGTTTCTCGCCTTAGCGCCGCGCTGAATTCGTGTTCACAGTTTGCAGCGGTTTCAACTGTTCTTATGGTTGGCGGCCCAGACGTGTAGGGTTGCCAGGGCGCGTCAGTTACATTGATTCGTTGTGTTGACGTCCCATGATTGGCGTTCAGGCACGATGCAGGATCGCCAGGTCGCAGCAGTAACGTTGATTCGAGGCGTTGAATCACAGGAATGGTGTTATGGAGCGGATGAAGAATTTCAGACGGTCGTTTCCCAACGGAGGTCTTCCCGCAGTGAACCTTCCAGAAACTCGCGAAGAGGGAACTTGCAGTCAGGGTTTGTTGCAACATCGTTGAGGAAGGAGTCTTGGGCTTTCACTGGTTTCCTCCTCCTCCACCTCCTCCTCCTCGCCAATCCCCCCCCTCGGGGCACATCTGGGCCGGCGCGACCCCCACACCGTACGCGCGCCCCCGCTGGCGCCCCGCCCGGCTCCCTCTGATCCGCCACAGGCTACGGCGCATGGAGCTCGCACGCCTGGCCGAGGGCGCCCAGGAGGTCCCGTGGGAGGCCGCGCGGGGAGGAGGGGGAGGAGGAGGAGGAGGAGGAGGAGGAGGAGGAGGAGGAGGAGGAGCGAGGAGCGAGGAGCGAGGAGCGAGGAGCGAGGGAGCGAGGAGCGAGGAGGAGGAGGAGGAGTAGAAGGAGGAGAAGAGGAGGAGGGGAGATGAGGAGGAGGCGAGGTGGAGGAGGCGGTGGAGGTTGAGGTGGAGAAGAGGAGTGGCGGAGGAGGATGAGGAGGGGGAGGAGGGGGATGATGGAAAGGAGGAGGGGAGGAGGAGGAATGGGGAGTGGGAGGGAGGAGGAGGAGGAGGAGGAGGAAGGAGGAGGAAGGGAGGAGGGAGGAGGAGGAGGGGGGAGGAGGGGGGAAGAATTAGAAGAAGAAAAGAAGAAGAAGAGGAGGAGGAGCAGGAGGAGAAGGAGGAGGAGGAGGAGGAGGATTGGGGGGGGGGGGAAGAGGAGGAGGAGGGGGGGAAGGAGGATGAGGAGGAGGATCAAGAGGAGGAGGAGGAGGAGGAGGAGGAGGAGGAGGAGATCGACGACGGGGAGGAGGAGGAGGAGGAGGAGGAGGAGGAGAACGACGGCGAGGAGGAGAACGACGAGGTGGTGGAGGAGGCAGGCGAGGGAAGGATCGGCGAGGAGATTGGCGAGGTGGAGGAGCAGGAGGAGGAGGGGGACGAGGAGGAGGAGGAGGAGGAGGAGATTTGTTTTGCCGGCAAGGGGTACATCGTTTAGCGTGTTTATCCTGCCTCCTCTCTCGCTGCTATCCGCTGCCTCATCGCCTCCAGTCCTGAAAGCAAAGAGCTGCCTGGAAAATCCACTTCAGGACGTTGAAACCACACAGCGCGCTGAGGGCGCCGCTGGGTCTGCAACAACTTGTCACGCTCCACCTCGCTTAAGATGTGGAGCACAACATCGGGGGCAGCACGATTGGACTGGGGATGGAGGCCACGGGGCATTCATCCGAGACGACACTTGCTGGCAGAAGACGTTACATATCCTTGACATTGCTGTTCGAGCTGTCGGCTGAGGCGCTCTGTGCAGTAGGCGCCACACCTCCGACAGAACAAGACTCGGACCTGACGAGAGACGTGTGTAGACCAGGGCGTGTCCTAGAGACGGGTGTGCGAGGAAAGAAACATTATGTTTCCTTCCAGAACACCCCGACATATCAAGAGCATCAGCATTCGCACCTGTACGTCTAGCATGGCAGCCATGACATAAAAACGAGCCAGGTGCACCAGGGACGGCCGTCCACGCATGCCATCTGTGCGCACCTGTGCTTCTGGGGCAGGGAACCTTCCTCCTGCCAGGGAACTGCGACAACGGAAACGGGGGCAGAACCGAACCCATCACACGGGCCACGGCTCGGGCCTTGCCAATCAGAGCATTGAGGTCATTCCAGGAGTCTCGTGGTTCCTGCGCGTGCACAGACAGAGCCTCTTTCGCGAGTCGATCCGCTACAAAAATTGCTCGTCCTATTTTCCGCTCGTCGGGCGGCGGCTTGTCTATCACTTCATTACTTCGGTGGGCTGGGGTCTGGGTCGCAGGGCCGATGTTTGTCGAGCCTTGGATCTCCCACACACCCCTCCGAAGCCCAGCATACTTGTTTCTTGACGAATTCCTGAAGGGCAGCTGACTGGTTGTGGTACCGAACGGGACCCAAACAATCCGAGAACACGTTTATCTTGTGCGTCAGCTGCCCAACAAAGAAATTCATTGAAACAATTTCCATGTGCTCAGCTGCTTGGGGGGTCTGCGGCAGGCTTGGCCAGACAGGCCCACGAAACCTCGCCACGACCTCCGAGTCAGGCTCGAGGAAGACTCGGAGGAGGAGGCGGAGGAGGCGGCGGAGGAGGGGGAGGAGGGGGAGGAGGAGGAGGAGGAGGAGGAGGAAGAGGAGGAGAGGAGGAGGGGATCAGGAGGAGGATCAGGAGGATCAGGAGGAGGATCAGAGGAGGATCAGGAAGGAGGTAGGAAGAGAGGAGGAGAGGAGGAGGAGGAGGAGGAGGGGGAGAGGAGGGGAGTTGAGGAGGAGGAGGAGGAGGAGGAACAAGAAGAGGAGTAGGAGGGAGGAGGAGGAGGAGGAGGAGGAGGAGAAGGCGGAGATGCGGAGAAGGGGGAGAGGAGGAGGAGGCGGAGGAGGACGAGAAGGGAGGAGGAGGAGGAGGAGGAGGAGGATGGGCGAAGGAGGCGGAGGAGGATGGGGAGGGTGAGGATTGGAGGGGAGGGGGGGGCGATGAGGAGGGGGAGGAGGACGAGAAGGAGGAGCAGGAGGAGGAGGATCAGTAGGAGCTGGAGGCAAAGGATGAGAAATTGGAAGGGGAGGACGGGGGAGGAGGAGGAGGTGGAGGATGGGGAGGACGCGGGGAGGGGGAAGATCGGCGAGGGAAGGAGGATGAGAAGGATGAGGGGGGCAGGGTGGGTCGCGGGGTGGGTCGCGGTGGGTCGCGGGTGGGTCGCCTGGGGGTTCTCGGGGTGGGTCGCGGGTGGGTTTCGGGGTGGTTCGCGGGGTGGGTCGCGGGTAGGTCGCGGGTGGGTCGCCGGTGGGTCGCGGGTGGGTCGCATGTGGGTTCTCGGGGTGGGTCGCGGGCGGGTTTCGGGGTGGGTCGCGGGTGGGTCGCGGGTGGGGTCGCGGGTGGGTCGCGGGGTGGGTCGCGGGTGGGTCGCGGGGCAAGGCGCGGGTGGGACGACGACAACAACAAACAACAAACAGCAAACAACAAACAACAATAACAAACAATAAACAACAAACAACAAACAACAAACAACAAACAACAATCAACAAACAACAAACAACAACAGCAACAACAACAACACCAACAACAATAACAATAGCAACAACAACAACAGCAGCAAGGTACGACCACTACCTGGAGGCCCCATTTTACCTTGGAGGTCTTACCCTCTTGCACGACCCCTAGCTGGAGGCCCCATGGGGTGGGGGGGCGGGAAACGGGAAACGGGAAACGGAAACCCCTCTGGCCTTAAATTATTTGGACTATGGGATCCAGCACGAACCTTGCACCTCCCCGCTGGACCCGACCAAGCAAACGCAAGGGAACACCAGCGAGGCTCCATAATCCATGCAGAACCCTTTTGGATCCTTCGGAGTCCCTGAGGAACCCTAGGGACTCCTCAGGGATCCCTGACGCATCCTTAGGGAACCCTAGGGAATCCTTAGGGAACCCTAGGAGATCCTCAAGGAACCCTTGGGAATCTGCAGTCCTCAAGGAACCCTGCCGAATCCTTACGGAACCCCGGGGAATCTTCAAGGAACCCGACCGAAGCCTTAAGGAACCCGAGGGGATCCTTAGGGAACCCTCGGGAATCCTTAGGCAATCCTAAGGGGTCCTTCGGCAAGCCTGGGGGATCCTAAGGGAATCCTCGGGAATCCTTAGGGAACCCTGGGGAATCCTTAGGCAATCCGAAGGAATCCTTAGGGAACCCCATGGAATCCGTAGGGAACCCGAATGAATCTTGAAGGGGCCATGATGATTCCTTCTGGAACCTTAGTGAATCCTTAGGGGACCCTTGGGATTTCTTAGGAAACCCTGGTGAGTCCTTAGAGAAACCGAATGCATCCTTAAGGAGCCCAGATGAGTCCTGAGGGAACCCTGGTGGATCCTCAGGGAACCTTACTGGATCCTTAGAGGCCTAGGGATCCCTTAGGCAACCCTAGTGACTCCTTAGAGGACCCTGGTGAATCCTTAGGGGACCCTGGGGACCCTAGGGAATCCTGATGGGATCTTAACATTGGTAGTAGTAGTAGTAGTAGTAGTAGTAGTAGTAGTAGTAGTAGTAGTAGTAGTAGTAGTACAGTAGTAGTAGTAGTAGTAGTAGTAGTAGTAGTAGTAGTAGTAGTAGTAGTAGTAGTAGTAGTAGTAGTAGTAGTAGTAGTAGTAGTAGTGGTAGTAGTAGTAGTAGTAGCAGTAGTAGGGGTAGGAGTAGGAGTAGTAGTAGTAGTAGTAGTAGTAGTCGTAGTAGTAGTAGTAGTAGTAGTAGTAGTAGTAGTCGTAGCCGTAGTCGTAGCAGGGATAGAATTAACAATCGTAGCAGTAGTGGTAATGGTAGTAGTAGTAGTCGCAGTATTATTATTATTAGTAGTAGTAGTAGTAGTAGTAGTAGTAGTAGTAGTAGTAGTAGTGGTAGTAGTAGTAGTAGTAGTAGTAGTAGTAGTAGTAGTGGAGGTAGTAGCAGTCGTAGTAGTAGTAGTAGTAGTAGTAGTAGTAGCAGCAGCAGCAGCAGTAGTAGTAGTAGTAGTAGTAGTAGTAGTAGTAGTGCAAGTATTAGTAGCCATTGGGGGGCGTAGTAGTAGTAGTAGTAGTAGTAGTAGTAGTAGTAGTAGTAGTAAGTAGTGTAGTCGTAGTAGTAGTAAGTAGTCGTAGGTAGTAGTAGTGAGTAGTAATCGTAGTATATTAGTAGTAGGAGTAGTAGTAATTAGAAGACAGTAGTAGTAAAAGTAGCGCATTAGTCGTAGTAGTAAGTAATTAATAGTAGTAGTGTGCTAGTAGTAGCTGTAAAGGTAGTAGTAGTAGTAGTAGTCGTAGGCCGAGTCCGTAGCAGGAAAGAATTTACCAATCGTAGCAGTAGTGGTAGTGTTAGCAGTAGTAGTTAGTATAGTAGTAGTGAGTAGTAGTATGTCGCAGCAGTAGTAGAGTGGTAGTAGTAGTAGTTAAGTAGTGGTAGTAGTATTAAGTAGTAATTAGTAGTAAGTAGTAGTAGTAGTAGTGGGTGGTAGTAGTAGTCGTAGTAGTAGTAGAGTGGTAGTAGTAGTAGCAGCAGTAGTGGTAGTAGTAGTAGTAGTAGTAGTAGTAGTAGTAGTAGTAGTAAAAGTATTAGTAGTAGTAGTGATAGTAGTAGTAGTAGTAGTAATAGTAGTAGTAGTAGTAGTAGTAGTAGTAGTGGTGGTGGTGGTGGTGCTGGTGGTGGTGGTGGTAGTGGTGGCGATGGTATTAATATTGTTGGTAGTAACAATGGTGGTGGTAGTAGCGGCGGTAGCAGTAAGAGTA